GCGCCACCATATGTTCTTTTTTTTTTTTTTTTAGAAATTTCTAATATTTATTTATTTATTTATTTTTTTAGATTTCGGCAGACACAACATCTTTGTTTGTATGTGGTGCTGAGGATCGAACCCGGGCCGCACGCATGCCAGGCGACTGCGCTACCACTTGAGCCACATCCCCAGCCCCCACCATATGTTCTTTATGTCCACATCCTACTACCTTTAAAAAAAATTATTTTAAAGTTATAACAGTGCTGTGGAGCAAACCCAGGGCCTCGCACCTGCTAGGTGAGTGCTCTACCACTGAGCCACAACCCCAGCCCAACCCTAGTGCCTTCACTAAATGATCAGCTCCAAAGGGCAAGGTCTGGGGCTTGTTCATCTCAGCTTCTTCAAGAGCACCTACCTAGCACTGTGCATTAGAAGACTTCATTGTTGTCTCCTGACCCAAGGTGGAAAATGGAGCTTCAGCCTTCATATCCACATTCCAGAAAGAGGGAAAAGAGAAGTGAGGGCAAAAAGAGTGGGTCTCCCAACTGAGTTGTTCCCTTTAAAAGCACTTTCTCTGCCAGGTGTGGTGGTGCAGGCCTGTAATCCGAGTGACTCAAAAGGCTGAGACAGGAGTCAACCTCAGTAATTTAATGAGGTCCTAAGCAACTTAGCAACACCCTGTCTCAAAATAAAAAAATAAAAATAGCTGAGGATGTGGCTCAGTGGTCAAGTGCCCCTGGGTTCAATCCCAATTCCAAAATAAATAAATAAATAAAAGACCATGCTTAGCTGCAAGAGAAACTGGGTTCACTGCTTCCCTTCAAGAAGTCATTCCTTGTTTTACAGATGAAAAAATAAGGCCCAGAGAGGATCAGAGAAGGGAGGCTGCAGAGCCTAGTGATTAAAAAATGGGTTTTGGAGGGCTAGGGTTGTAGCTCGGTGGTAGAGCGCTTGCCTAGCATGTGTGAGGCACTGGGTTTGATCCTCAGCACCATATTAAAAAATAAATAAAATAAAGATATTGTGTCCATCTATAACTAAAGAAAAATTTAAAAGAAAGAAAGAAAAAGAAATGGGTTTTGGAGCTAGAGAGAACTGTGTTTGAATCCTATCCCCGACTAAACTTTTTATTCATTTGAAAAATTAGCTTAATGGTACCTACTTGGGGGGAGGTGTTAAGAAAATTAAATAGGGCAATGGATGAGAAGAACACTTAACACAATGTCAAGCTCACAGTTATTGTGTATTGTCTTAGTTTGGGTTTCCTCAAAAGCAGATTCTGAGACAAGGATTTTGGTGTGATTAGTTTATTTAGGAGATAATTCAGAGAAGCAGGGTGAGGAGTGGGAAATGAGACAAGAAAAGGAGAAAAGAAAATAAAGCATACAGTTACAAGTAGGTTTTCACCAAGGAAATCTGACTTGGTTTTGCTGGAGCATGTCTTTGCAATGGGAATTTGAATAATCCCACTGAGCCTGAGCGGCCAGAAGCCCTCTTGCTACACCCAGGCTCTTCCTACCCTTATCCTGTCATGTGCCCTCCCCATAAGCCTGCTTTTCAAGCAGGTGGCCAACCCTGAGGCCCTGGCCTCAGCTGGGCAGGGTGTCCTTGTCCCTCTCCATGCAGAGAACCTTTGAGCCCTCCCACTGTCCTTCTCAACCTTTTTCAACAGAAAATTCAATTCTGCCCCAAGGACTCTCCTCCTCCTTCACCAGCTCCCCAGAGGGATGCAGGCTGCAGACATCTGCAGGCTTTGTCTTCCTCCTTCCTTCCTATGCTTTGTGGGCATTTTCAGTCTTGGAAGTGAGCGAGAAAAACTAGGACATTTTAAACTCTTCTTTTACTGGTAACATTGTCCCATTTATCCTTCTCTTCCCTCAGCCCCTCTCCCTCAAGGCACTCAGCCTGGACATTTGTCCCAACCAAAATCTCACCTTCCATCGTCCTTGCAGCCCAAAGCCTAGCCCAGTCTCTAAGTCCTGCTCCAGTCTTCTCCCACCAAACCAGAAGGAGGCTAGTCTGTAGAGTATCCTGGGCCACCTCCAGTGTGGCCTCTGCCTCGGGCCTCAGTTTCCCCATCTGGTAAATTGGATTAATGATGCCTGCTCTGTAGACCCAGAGGATGAGGAAGGGTCTCTCGCTCGGCGCAGGCTCCGTGCGGTGCCCCAGGCCCTGCTGCTCGGCTCCCCTCCTCTCGGCGCGCCCCTCCCTCCCCGTCCCCCTTCCCGCCTCTTCCCTGTCTTTCCGCCCCTCCGCCCGACCGTCTCCCTCTTTGACTGTCCTTCTCTATCCCTCACGCCTCCGGGTCCGGGGAACCCGCGTCCCGCCCGCCGCCGCCTCGCGGCCTGAGCCCCCACCGCCCCGGGCAGGCCCAGCTCCACCGCAGCGCAGGCGGTCAGTGCGCAGCCCAGGCGCCCGCCTGGAGCGCGGAGCCGGAGCTCCATCGCGGGCTCGGACAGAACCATCCCTGTCGCCGCCAGCCAGGTGAGGGCAGCTTGGAGGAGGCGGGGGTGGGGGGGAGCCAGGTTTCGCTTTTATTGCAAACGGGGGCAGCGGGAGGCGTTGGGCCACTGGGTCCTTTTTCCTTGAACTGAGGACCTGGGCGCTTTTTCCCAAAGAGGCTTAAGGGCTTTCACTCCAGGGCCATGGGCGGGGGGAGGACTCGGGGAGAGAGGGTTTGGGGTACCCCTTTCTGGGTGATTTTTCCTCCATGGGTAAAGACTAATTGGCTGCTCCCGTGAAAGTAGAAATGCTCTTCTTGGGAGGATGAGGGGCTTTCAACGTAGATGGCGAGGAGGTTCTGGCGGGGCTGTAGACACGGGTTAGCTGGGGAGTGAGGGCTTGGGGGAAGAGGGGTTTGGCCATGTCCTCAACCCGATATCGCTGCACCTCCCCCGTTGGTTCCATGGCTCTGGGTCTGCCCAGCTCTGTTCCAGTTTTTCTCTTTGAAGATGTCTATTTTGAGCCTCACCTGGACAGAGCTAGGAACAGCCATTTCCTTCTCTAGAGCCATGCCGCCCACCTGACAGTCCCCCCTCCCGCCCCCTCCTGCCCCCCACCCCTGCTTCCTCAAGAAAGGAGGTTCAGGGGAGAGCTTTCAGAGAAGGATGGGACCTGGAGACTTGGGAAATGGGCGGTGGTGAGTAAAACAGAGGCCGGTGTCTGGCACACAGGAGACCCTTTGGTATTGGGAGCTACAGAGCTGGCAGGGAGATGGCTGGACAGGCGCTCCTGCGGAAGGACCTGCTGGGAAAGCGTCAGGGTGGGAGAGAGTTAAGCTGCTCCCAAGCTCCAAGAAGACAAAATGCTAGAGGGCTTTTTTTGTTTGCTTGCTTGCTTGCTTGTAGTTATCCTTCACACTGGATCCCAACTCTCATTCCCCTGGTCTCCTATTAAAAAAAGAAAGAAAAAAAGAGAGAGAGAGAGAAAAGACGCAAAGGAAAGGTTGGCTGGAAATACCTGTATTTAGGAGGGAAAAGTGGTGGAAAAGAAGGTACATTGAATTTGAAGTGGGGGGGGGGAACAAAAACAAAACAAACAAACAAACAAAAAACCTCTGTTCAAGGCTTCCTTTAGTGCTCCGTGGATAACCTTGGGCCAAAATGTGGCCCAAAAGAGCTTTGTAAAAGGGAATGTACCTGACATTTGTGAGGTGTAGTCTTCACCACTATAAATGCCCTCTCCTGGGTATCATAACCCATAGGGTGCCTTCTTGAGAATTAGGAAAAATACCTCCACTGGAAGGAGACAGTAGGACAGTGGCTTGGGGTCTTTTACTATAAGAATTAGAAGAAGACATACTTTACCCCAGATGCCACTCTGACAGCTGGGCAAGTGGAATGTGGATTAGAGCCCAGCTTCCACCAAACCTCAAGTGAGCATCCTGGTGCAGGAAGCATCCACAGCTGCTTATGGTAACCCTTCTCAACAGGCTGCCAGTGTCTCCAAGAGGCACAAAGCTACATGCTCTCCCAGGGCATTTCATAGAGAAACCCACATCCCAGCTTATCTTACCACTTTGCCTCCACTTCAGGGTCGCAAAGCCTGTACCCTACTAGGAATCCCACTATCAGAGAATGACTCCTTCCCTAAGCTCTTAGGGTACGACTTACTGAGTCCTTAACCCTTTATGTCAAGAACTTGATCAGATTGCTTTTCCTACCGCTAAGCACAGAAGCATCTGCACACCTGGGTAGCAGTGCTCTTTATAAACCATGGTCACACCTGCTATCTCAGAGCATTCTCTCAGCATTTACACAGAGGAAGCCATAAGAAATTTGCCTGAGATTTCAGTGTTAGTGGTAGAGCCAAGAAACCAACCCAGACTTAGGTGTGTCTACTCCATTCCACCACAACTGAGGAACAAAGCTACTGACTTCAGTCCTACCAAAGCCCTGCTGGAATTTTGCTCTTCCTGTATCCCCAGCAACCCCTGACTTTTCTCCTCCAGTGTCCAGCCTCAAGGCAGAGGAGTTGCCTTTTTTTTCACTCAGATTTCATGAGGGTGGAGTTACCTCAAAGCCCAGCTTCTTTCTCCTCCTCAATTCCGGGAGAACCCCTAGGAAATCCAGAGGTCCTGGGTGAGGGCTGACCCTTGAGTGGGTCAAAGGCCAGGAAAGAGTCAGAGAGCAGTTACTCCTCTTCCTACCCAGAAAGCATTCAAATAGTAACTGTTATGAAGGACACTGACAGAGACAGTGCCCACTGTGAAGAGCAAGCCCAGGATCAGAGAAGACCCCCCCACACCCCACCCCCACACACAAAATGAAGTGAACTAGAGTCTGAGAGAAACTCTTCTCAGTGTCTCCTGTCTCCTGTGTTACCAGAGCCCTGGGTGCCAAGAGAGAAGGAAAGGGCTGAGTCCAGCAGACAATGCTGTGGGCCTCTTCAACCACAGCATTTCTGCTTGTCTGTGGTATATATGTTCCAGACTTCACTTAAGAAAGGAGTTTCCATGCTTACCCCCGCCCTCAAAAGAAAAAAAAAAAAAGAGAGAAGTTTGGAGAATCACTGGTCTAAGTCTAGTGGTTCTGAAAATGCAGTCCTTGGACCAGCTTCATGAGCATCACCAGGGAAATTTGGGGGCTAGGCACTGGGGATTGAACCCAGGGGTGCTTAACCACTGAGCCACATCCCCAGCCCCCACTTTTTTGCAACTTATTTACCGACAGGGGTCTCGCTGAGTTGCTTGGGGTCCCACTAAATTACTGAGGCTGGCTTTGAACTTGGGATCCTCCTGCCTCAGTGTCCCCAGCGGCTGGGATTATAGGCACTTACCACCACACACGGCTATCAACTGGGAAATTGTTAAGCATATAAATTTTCGGGCCCCATCCTAAATCTAGAAAATAAACTATGTGGCTAGGGCCCAACTATGTGTAGTTTTTATTATTGTTGTTGCTGTTTTTGTTTGTCTCTTGCAGTTCTGCAGACTGAACCCAGTACGTTGAACTACATCCCCAGACCTCCATTTATTTATTTATTTAAATTTTGAGACAGGGTCTTCATAAGTTATTCAGGATGGCCTCGAACTTGCGATCTCCTGCCACAGTCACCTGAGCAGCTAGGAAGGACTACAGGTGTGCATCACCATGCCTGGCCCTGTGTTTTAATAAGCCCTCCAGGTGACACTGAACACATTAAAGTTTAAGCAGCACCATCCTAGTCATTGTGTAGGAAAATCGAGGGCAAGTTCTGGGTCAAGGACAGGGATAGGAAAAAAACCCATATGTCTCCTCCAGTCCAGAGAGCAGGATATTTGGAAGTGAGTGCTGTCCAACTCTCCTTTCCTCCCCCCTCTCTCCTCCAGGGGCCATGCTGTTGCTCCTGCTGGGCCTGCTAAGCCCGGTTGCCTGCTGGGCACTGGGCCTGGCCGCTGACCCAGGCTCCTCAGAGCTGCGCTCAGCCTTCTCGGCTGCACGCACAACACCCCTGGAGGGCACTTCAGAGATGGCAGTGACCTTCGACAAGGTGTACGTAAACATCGGAGGCGACTTCGACGCAGCCACCGGGCAGTTCCGCTGCCGCGTGCCGGGCGCCTACTTCTTTTCCTTTACTGCCGGTAAGGCCCCGCACAAGAGCCTGTCGGTGATGCTGGTGCGCAACCGCGACGAGGTGCAGGCTCTGGCCTTCGACGAGCAGCGGCGTCCAGGCGCCCGGCGCGCTGCCAGCCAGAGCGCCATGCTGCAGCTCGACTACGGCGACACGGTGTGGCTGCGGCTCCATGGTGCGCCGCAGTACGCTCTCGGCGCGCCGGGCGCCACCTTCAGCGGCTACTTGGTGTACGCCGACGCTGATGCCGACGCGCCTGCGCGCGGGCCGCCCGCGCCCCCCGAGCCACGCTCTGCCTTCTCGGCGGCGCGCACGCACAGCCTGGTGGGCTCGGACGCGGGCCCTGGGCTGCGGCACCGGCCGCTCGCCTTTGACACCGAGCTGGTCAACATTGGCGGTGACTTCGACGCGGCGGCCGGCGTGTTCCGCTGCCGCCTGCCCGGCGCCTACTACTTCTCCTTCACGCTGGGCAAGCTCCCGCGCAAGACGCTCTCGGTGAAGCTGATGAAGAACCGCGACGAGGTGCAGGCCATGATCTACGACGACGGCGCGTCGAGGCGCCGCGAGATGCAGAGCCAGAGTGTGATGCTGGCCCTGCGGCGTGGCGACGCGGTCTGGCTGCTCAGCCACGACCATGATGGCTACGGTGCCTACAGCAACCACGGCAAGTACATCACCTTCTCCGGCTTCCTGGTGTACCCCGATCTCACCCCCTCTGGCCCGCCGGGACTCGGGCCCCCGGAGCTCTGAGCCCCGACCGATCCCAGAGGAGCCCCGGAGGGCCAAGGGGCGTGCATGCCGAGCCGGACCGCGGCCCGAACGCCCCACCGGCGCGAGCATGACGGCCTGCCCAGCGCGGCTGGACTCTGCCAATAAAGTGGGCCTGCGCCGGCCAGCCCAAGAGTCTGCTCTGTCTTAAGCGATGCTTTGCCTCGGGATGGGACAGGAAAACACTGAATTCTGCAGCCCACAGCCGGAGGTGGGGATCAGGCCCTGGGAGGGTGAGAAGGTGGGAAATTTCATCTAATGCGTGTTCCTGTCCAATCCGTCACTCCGCCTGACACCTCACATTTGACTTAGACCTAGGGCCCATCTGATTCCTTTCCATGATGAGACAGCATGCCACTATCCACCCCAGGCCACAGGACTCAAAGGGAACATAAGTTCCTTCTTCCAGTAGGGTGTGGGAATGTGATGAGGGCTTGACACCTGATTGCTCTGCCTCCTGCCCTCGTAGGATAAAGAGAGTGGTTTCCTTAGGGTTGCTTTAGATAACCTAACAGAATGACTCAGGCTCCAGGAGGCCAGAACAGAGTTTTTTTTATAAGAAGAGATACACAGAATCCCAGCTACACCTACCACAGCCTGCATCAGCTAGTCTCTCTGGTTTGGGTGAGTCCTCTCCCAGCCTTATTCCTTCCTCTGAGATGTTCATCTGAGATTTGTTGAGATGGAAGATAGGACATTTGCCTTCCTTTCTCCAAAGAAGTTAAAGTTCCTCCACTGCTTCCCTCCACTCCTCCAACAGACAGAACTCAAGAAGTCCAACCTGGGCTCCCAATCCAGATGGGGAACTTGCAGGTTCAAGGGACTCCAGAGCCCTGGTCAGGCTTGAGAGGACTATCTAAATTAGGACTGGGTGCTGGGCATACAGATTCCTGTAGATTCCACAGGACCTCTCAGACTGTTAGGGTAGGAATTGGAGGCTGGAGGTTCTAACCTGAATATACTTAGGGCTGTTCCTCTTTTAGCGTCTCTTAAACACACTTCTCAATCCTGGCCCCAACACATGTACTGCCCACAAGTCCTGCCCTTAGCTGTGTGCCTGCTGTCCCTCGCATGCCTTGGGCTCTTAGCCCTATCAGGGTCTATGGAACAAGAAAGGGTAGGGGTAAGCATGAAGTGGGGTGAGTCAAGGTGCAAGTCCAGCCCATAAATCTGAGTAGGAAAAAAATAGGTGCCAGATAGAAGCTTGCCCAGGAAGGGTCTGGCGCTCAGGTTTTTTTTTTTGTTGTTGTTTTTGGGTTTTTTTGGGGGGTGGGGTGGGGGTGGTGGGACATAATAGGAGGGGAAAATGACAGGTAAAAAGGAAGGGTCAGGGGAAGGGGCCAAGGATGGAGGCCCAGGGCCCCAGCCAAGGGGGCTGGCCCTGGGGGCAGAAATCCTTACACAGGTCCCAGAGTGTTTCCTGGGCCAGGAGGGAGAAGACCTGGGCCCAGCGACCCCTTTCTTCAGCCTCACTAGCAGCATGGAGCCGGTAGACGCAGGATAGGCCTGTGAGGAGCAGATGTTCAAAGTCCCAAGGACTAAGAGGAGGCCCCTTTCGCAGGTCCTGGAGCTGTTTCAGCTGCTGCTCAGCACCCTCCAAGTCACTGGGTACTCGGTGCTGCAGGAGGAGCCTGAGTCGGCGACCTGGACGTGTGGATGCTAGTTCTTCATCCTGGATGTACAGCTGCCCCATGACATCCAGCTCCAGCCCAGCCCAGAGCAGCTGCAAGGGGAGCTATTTAAGGGATGGGCTGAAGCCTGGGGAGCCGGGTAGGGAGCATAAGCAGGCAGTAGAACTCATGCCAGGTTGTCCCCCACCCCCAGCAGGCACACCCTGATATTCCCCTTCCCAGCCTTAAGCTTAGGGACTTGTGGAAATTCCCACCCCCACAACCCAGGCTGGGAATAATGACCTCAAACATCACTTCGGGGGCCTCTGGGTCCTGCAGGCCACCTCCCACGCTGGCGCTGTCCTCGGGCTGCCCTGGGGCAGCAGAGAGGAGTCAGGCCCTTGTCATATTCCACCCTGAACACCCCAGAATCCCAGAAGTATCCTTCAGCTGCCTCATAGGGGTCCCTCCTGGATCTTCTGTCTACTAAAGTGTAGGAATGCCATCTCATGCTCCTCTCCCCCATCCCACATGGACACTGGCATTCATCCTTCCAGGCATGGATCTTGTGATCTCAAAGTGTCATACCAAGTTATACCAAAGGGTGGGCAAATACCCAGGACTCCTCCTTTAACTTGCACAATTCCCTTGGTAAAGAGCTCCACACCAACAGGTCACAAGACCCTTTTCCTCCCTTTTTCCCTCCCTATAGTCATCTGGGGATAACGTGACCTAAACCACTGCCAATGACCCTCCACAAAGGATAAGGACCTCTTTTCCTTTTGCAATTCTGGGGACTGAACCCAGGGCCTTGCATGTACAAGGTAAGTGCTCTGCCACTGAGCTACACTCTCAGGCCTTTTTAAAAAATTGAGACAGGATCTTGCTAAGTTACTGAAGCTGTTTTGGAATTTGTGATCCTCCTGCCTCAGCCTTTGGAGTAGCTAGAATTATATGCGTGCAGTTTGTGCCCAGCAAGATGAGGACTTTTTTGGAGGGGGCTACTCTTTCCTTGCTTTTCCTCAGTAGTGCATTGTGTGTAAGGCAGAGAACTGGGCAGGACAGGATGACTGTTAATTTTCCTCCATCCTGTATCATGAAGTGTGTGATTGTCCCAAACCCAGAACACATCAAGAGACCCTGCTTTGGACATCAGCTGAAATAAGCCCGGGGCCCAACTGTGACTCAGGCCAGCATTAAGTGGGGTCCACACCATTACCCACTGTAGCATACACTTCAGTCCCACAGATCCTTTGCCCTGTGAGGATCAATTGGAGCCAGCAGAAACTGCTGTCTGCCAGTAGCCTTTCTTGGCTCCTATCCACCCACCCTGAGGCCCCTGTACCTGCATGGTGCTGGGTTGTTGTTGCTCCAGGGCAGAGGCAAATGGCTACCACCAGATAAGCCAGTAACTGCGGTGTCCTGGCCATGCTGCACCTCATCCTCTGAGTCTCACTCTTCCTAGCAGCTCTGTGCTCCCTCATTTGCCTGCCACATACCACAGCTCTAACTTTCCACTGCAGGCTGCTCCAGCATTCTGTTACGCATGTCAGTCTTCAATGCAGAATAGGGAGGGACTGGCTTGTGGCCTCCATCACCTCCTGGGGCCCTTTCCACCCTCCAGAAATGGGAATCTGTGGTTTTGGCAGTAGCAGCCTGTTCCTGCCTAATGGGTGGGATGCTTAGTTAACAGAAAAAAGGGCTTGGTAGCAAACTGGCTTGACCTTCCAAAGGGGGGCGGGGGGAGATCTCAGGCAGTAATGCTACCTTACTATCTGTCCTCACCCTCGAAACATCCTGCTACTGACAGGATGCCAGCCCCTGACACCCAGTCCAACTCCACCTCCAGGGAGCTGCTTGGGTGCCAAGAGCATCAGCTGCAGAGCCCAGTACTCCAGCTGCATGCTGGGTGGGCCGCTTGGAAGGCAGAGCCTAGTGCTCTCATTTCAGGCATTCAGCCACAGGCTGAAGAGACCCTAGACCAGCTGGGGAAGCGAGTACTGTCTCCTGACAGACAAATCTGCCACTCCTTAGCGTTTTTGCCGTAGCCCTGGAGTCTCTTCAAGGCTCCAGTCTTGGTTCAGGCCAGAAACTAGGCAGATTCCTCTAGCTCAAGAATGACAAGCTATCAGGCTAGAGAGAATACAAGATTCAAGGCTCAAAAATGAGCTAAGGTGTTCCTTCAAGCTTTGACTATTCGCTCATGTAACCCTGTGGATGTGTGGGTGGGAGGAGAGTAGAATGGAGATTCCTTGGTTCCACCCAGGAATCCATCAGATGCCACCATGAGAGGCTTACTGCATTAGAGGCTTACTCCAACAGTTATTGAGACCCTCCAATTCTCACTATATGCCACACCAAAGAGATCCTGAACCCACTGGAATGTGAGCACTTTGAATTAGTCAAAATCCCTCTCAGAAGTACATACAGGCCTGCAGGTGACAGTATCTGCAACACACTATTTACTCCCATTAAAGTACACTTGTAGGCTGTGGGAGGTTACATGTCTGTAATACCAGTGACTTGGGAGTCTGAGAGAGGAGGATCAAAAATTTGAAGCCAGTCTCACAATTAAAAAAAAAAAATGGTCTGGGGATGTAGTTCAGTGGAAAAATGCCCCTGGGTTCAATCTGGACTACTCAAATGGACTACTCAAAAACAAAAAAAAACAAACAAACAACAAAGAAAACCAAAACAGAGCCAGGTATGGTGGTGCATGCTGTAATCCCAATGGCTTGGGAGGCTAAGGTAGGAAGATGGCGAGTTCAAAGCCAGCCTCAGCAAAAGTGAACTGCTGAGCAACTCAGTGAGACCCTATCTCTAAATAAAATGCAAAATAGGGCTGGGGATGTGGCTCAGTGGCCAATCCCTGATACCCACCCCCCACCAAAAACAAACAAACAAAAAAACAGACTTGCAGCTTTGGTACATTCTAAGGGAGCAGAGAAACACCTTTGCCTGCACCTGCCTTTACCTGAGTCAAAGTGTCACTCTACCCATTATTAGCACACAAGAAGTGTGGAGTCTTAGTAGGAATTTATTTACACAAACAATCATAGACAAGATGCTCTCCTTAATTCATAAGCCTTCCCTGGAGCTATTTGACTTCAGGCTTCTTGTCTCCGGCTTCAAGCTTGAGATTCTCAGGAGGCTGCCGATAGGCAGGGAAAGCCTCCCAGGGGCTGTTCAGGTCAAACTTGCGGAACTCTTGGGCCAACTCCACTGGCTCAGCCACCACCCGCTTTACTTCATCATCATAGCGTAACTGCAGGAACAAAAGACAGGACTGAGTACTGAAGAACGTCTTGTCATGGCCACTAAGGAGCACACTTTCACGGGCCATGGGCGATTCCCCCAGCCTATCATCATTCTGTCCTTGACTCCTATTCTAGCCTTTTTTGTCAACAAGTCTCCATACATATTTGTGTGACCTGTCACGATGCGTCACACTCCAACAACCTGGTAAGTGGAATTCCCAGATGGTCTCCTACCACTCATGCACTTCAGCAACATTCAGACTCCCCTGTCGCCTGCCCCACCACAGTGTGAACTCTGAACCCTTTTCTAGAACTGACTCTGCTCATCCATTCTCATAATGGAAAGCATTTGTCCAGGATTGGGAGCAGCTGGTGGCTGAAAAGAGTAAACGTAAACTGATAGACACAACTTCAGGCCTTCTGGCCTTGGTATTTCCACTGTCAGTATCTCAGAGCCAAGAGTGGTTGTGCAGGCTTGTAATGCATCTGCTTAGGAGGCTGAGGCAAGAGGATCGCAAGTTCAAAGCTAGCTTCAGCAACTTAGCAAGACCCTAAATAAATCAGTAAGACTCTGTCTCTAAATAAAATCAAAAAAGGGCTGGGGATGTGGCTCAGTGGTTAAGTCCCTGGGACCAAAAAAAAAAGTCTGAAGTTAAATGAGGCATATTGGCTCATGCTTGTAATTAACATTTCTAAAAAAGCTACCTTGCTACAAAATTTATGTGTTTTTTTTTTGTTTGTTTGTTTTAAGGCTACCTTCCTGCTAATCAGCAGTGCCACTGGAAAAAAAAATTTATTTTTTTAAGTACTTTTTGTTATAGATAGACGCAACACTTTATTTATTTATTTTTATGTAGTATGCTGAGGATTGAACCTAGTGCCTCACACATGCTAGGCAAGCACTCTATCATTGAGTCACAACCCCAGCCCACTGGAATTCTTTATAAGACTCTTGTAGTGACATATTACTGGTCCTGCCTCAGTGGCTATTCATTTTTTTGTTTTTTCTTGGTAAGGGGGATTGAACCCAGAGGCACTTAACTTCTGAGCCACATCCCCAGCCCTTTTTATTTTTTAATTTCGAGACAAGGTCTCACTAATTTGTTGAAGCTGGCGTTGAATTTTTGATCCTTTTACTTCAGCCTCCTGAATTGCTGGGATTACAGGTGTGTGCCACTGTGCCCAGTTTGGTGGCTGTTTGTGAGGATTAGACATTTAGCATCTTCCCTGCCAAATGCCTTATTGAAAATCTAGGGCAAGGAAAAATAATCCTCTACTTTCAGGAGTTGGGGGCAGACTGTTCTTTTTTATTTGCGGGCGGGGGGGCGGTACCAGGGGTTGAACACGGGAGGCACTCAATCACTGAGCCATATCCCCAGCCCTATTTTGTATTTTACTTAAAGACATGGTCTCACTGAGTTGTTAGTGCCTTGCTTTTGCTGAAGTTGGCTTAGAACTCCTGACTCAGCCTCCCAAACTGTTGGGACTACAGGCGTGCACCACTATGCCTGGCCAGATTATTCTGAAGGCTGCTTTCATCATTAAAATGATTATTATAATAATAGCTAGCATCAACTGATATTTAGCACACTTAAAACACCCAGCTTCACACATACATCATTTAATGCTCACCATACATCATTTAAGCTATTATTGTCCCTACTGTACAAAAATAGAACCATAATTAAATTAAGTACCTTGCCCCAGATTACAAAAATGAAGCTAGGATTTGAATCCAGAGCCCACCCACACAGATCCTGCCATCTCCACTATTCCCTATTCCCTGTGAGTCCCTCCCTAAGGCTAGCACCCCAATTTCAAGGCTCTTACCTCAACATAACCAGACAGTGGGAAGTCTTTCCGGAAAGGATGTCCCTCAAAGCCATAATCTGTCAGGATCCTTCTTAGGTCAGGGTGGTTAGCAAAAAAGACACCAAACATGTCCCAGATCTAGAAAAAAAGAGGCTCTCAGGCAACCAGTCCACAGGGCCTGGGGGAAGGAGCTACATTACAGCCCAAGTTTCAACCACTTCAGCAACTCTGGCCCAGAGGCAAGGCCCATCATATCCACCAACTCACCTCCCTCTCATACCAGTTGGCTGCCTTATACACAGAGACTGTGGACTCAATTGGTGTCAGCTCATCTGTATAGGTCTTCACACGGATTCGTGAATTGAAGCGCAGAGACAGCAGATTGTAGACAATCTAGGGAGAACAGAGGGAACTAGAGGATGAAGAAGGGCACAGTTTGAGGGGTCTCAGATGAGAGTCTCTGGGTAAGCATTAGCTATAAGGATTCAGGGTAGGTTAGGGTTTCACCTGTGACCCTGCTTTCTGTTTGAAGTTCAAAATGTCAAGATGTCCCTATGCTTACAACAACTTGCAAAGGCACAGGCCATAGTGTAGCTAGGCATGTCAGCATGCCTATCTTTCCTTGTGCTACTCTTTGTTTGGAAGATCTCTCTGCTCTACCTGCCCCAAATCCTCACGAGGCTAATTTCTGGTATTCTTCTCATCTGTTAAGAGTCAGCATAAATATCCTCTTAAAAGAAGCCTTTCAGACAGTGCCCCACCTGTTTCTAAAGTATCCCTCTACCATCCTATGTACTACAGATTACTACTTTAAGTTACAAACCTTTTGCTAGGTGTGGAGGATAGATACTAGATGTTCTTTCTCTTTTCCAGGGTCTGGCACATAGTAGATGAATAGAAAATACTAATTGTTAAGTGTATTGAGAATTTGTGTGCTAATAAGTCACCTACACCAGCTCATTTGACAACCACCAGACATAATACAAACAACTTTATACTTTTTTTTTGGCAGTACTAGAGATTGAATCCAGGGGCATGCACTTGCTAGGCAAGCACTCCAGTAATAAGTTACATTCCCAGCTCTTTTTTATTTTGAGGCAGGGTTTTACTCAGTTTCCTAGGCTGGCTTTGAACTTGTGATCCTTTTGCCTCAGTTTCTTCAGTAGCTTGTATTACAAGCATTTATCACCAAGCCTGGTTCTTATTTATTTATTTATTGGTACTGGGTATTGAATGCAGGGGCACTCAAATCAATGAACCACATCTCCAGCCCTATTTTGTATATTTTTAGAGACACGGTCTCACTGAGTTGCCTAGTGCCTTGCTTTTGCTGAAGCTGGCTTTGAACTTGCTATCCTCCTGTCTAAGCCTCCCCGAGCTGCTGGAATAATAGGCATGTGCCACTGTGCCCCATCTGGCTCTTCTTTTTTAATTGCCTTTCTGATAATTTCTACTGGGTTCCTTGCTGTAAGAAATTATACTTACCAGCATCCTGAAATCACTAAGATAAATCCTCCTTATCTCATATCACATCTTTTTAAAATATATATATTTTTAGTTGTAGATGAACACCATTTATTTATTTGGTGCTGAGGATCAATCCCAATGCCTCATGCATGTGAGGCAAGTGCTCTACCACTGAGCCATAACCCCAGCCCTCACATCTTCTAACCTTACTAGTTAAAAAATGTCCAAGGACAGCCATAACAGATCCTAATGAACCACATAATATCAAGTCCTGTGTGCAGGGAATGTTTTTGACATCTGAAATTGCTGGAAGCATAACAGGTGTTTTTTTTTTTTTTCTATGACTTCAGCAGTGCCTCCAGACCTGCCCCACCATCACCTACACTTATTTCGCAGATGAGAAAACTAAAGCACTGGACATGGTGGTGCACACCTGTAATCCCAGTGGCCCAGGAGTCTAAGGCAGGGGATTGCAAGTTCAAAGACAGCCTCAGTAACTTGGTGAGGCCCTGAGTAACTTAGCAAGACCCTGTCTCTAAATAATAAATAAAAACGGCTGGGGATGTGGCTAGTGAATTTACTCCCTAGTACAAAAAAAAGAAAAAAAAAAAATTGAAGCACACAACACACACAAAATCAAATAGAGTGGGTACCAGGGTGTATGCTTATAGTTCCAGCTACTCAGGAGGCTGTGGTGGGAGAATCACTTCAACCAGAGTTTAAGATCAGTCTGGGCAAAAAAATGAGACTTTGTCTAAAATAAACAGTATGTTTGAGGTCACAAAGTCAAGTGATGACAGAGCCAAGATTCATACTTAAGGTCTACCTGACTCTAAAGCCCTGGTTTAACTGCTGTGTTCTACTGAATGAACCAAACTAAAACTAGAGAGATTATGGTTCCCATTGGTAGCTGTCACCTTGAAAATATTATGTCCCCTTTCTTTTTTTCTGGGTTGAACCTAGGGGCATTTTACAACTACAGGAGCTACATTCCCAGTTCTTTTTAATTTTTTATTTTGGGACAGTGTCTTCCTAAGTTACTGAGGCTGGCTTTGACCTTGAGATCTTCCTGCCTCAGCCTCCTGAGCTGTTGGGACTATAGGACACCACTATGCCTGACTCTGTCCCTTTCTCACCCTTATTCCCCAAAACTTCTCAAATTTCCTGACTGACCTCAAAACGATTTTGCCGAGTTGGTACATCCACTGCTGTCAGGTCAGCCAAGGATTTGAACTGTGCATTGGTGTGATCTCTGAGGAAAGTCAGCACTGGGATGACTCCATCAGGATGGATACAGATCTCTAACTCATTGAAGCAGGTCACCTACAAACACAGAAGGGAGGAAAGAAAAAGGAAATATCTACAGAGGAAGCAGCTAACTTCAGTTGGAATCACTTAGCTTAAAATAGAGAAAGAAGCTCAAGTTAGGGATGGAGAAATCTATGGTTTCTTTGAAACTAGGCTGCCCATTCCCATGTGCCCTGAAAACATGATTCTTTCTCGACCCAAACCCAAACAACTGTAGTGAATATTACCTGAACTTGTTGGACATACTTGGGCAGGATTTCAGCTATATACTCTCCAAAAGCTGAGAGCTGTTTGTGGGCCACATCGTTCTGTGGTCTGACTGTGGCTGGAAGGAAAAGGCGCATTTAACAGAGTGAAGAAGGCAGCAACCAGCTGTGTATCTATTCTCTTGGGTTTGTAAAGGGTGTCATCTTTCAGCAGGAATGAGCATGTGAGCTGGGTGTGATGGCACAGGTCTGTAATCCCAGTGGCTTGGGAGGTTGAGGCAGGAGAATTGCCAAGTTCAAGGCTAGCCTCAGCAACTTAGTGACTCAAAATAAAAAAATAAAAAGTGTGTGACTCAGTGGTTAAGTGCTCCTGGGTTCAATCCCTGTACTACCTCCCCACACACCAAAAAAAGAAAAAAAAAAGGTGTAGGTGGAGAGTTCTTCTTGCAGGGTATAGGAAATAATGAAAAAAATGGAGAAAAATGCCACCTCACTTACATAATACACATAAAGACTTATTACTGCAACTGTGGTGTTTGCCACTTCTTGAAACTATTCCATGCTCTTCCCTTTCTATACTTCTGCAAACACAGCATAGTGTCAGCTGTCCTACCAGACTAGAAACTCTTCAAGGACAGGAACCACACATTTGCTTCTCTTTATCTTCTTGGCCCTTAGCTTATTCCAGGTTCTCATACTAAGAGCTTCAGGACTGACTGAAGAGCCCTCACAGATTATCTTGTGAACCCCATCTTCCTTTTTGGTGTGTGCATCAGTAAGAAAACCTAGACCTAAACCAGAAAAGTTAGGTCTTCTATTTCCCAGTCTGCTCATGTTGACTGTAACATAATTTCCAAATACTCATTCATGCAAACCTAATCACTGGGCACTCACCCAGCATAGGCTGGGAAGAATGGTTAAGTGCCTTTGGTGGCAGGCAGACCAACTTTCTCTGTGACTCTGAACAAATGTTTTATTTATTTATTTGTTTATCTTGAGATGATGGGGATCCAACCAAAGTCCTTGGGCATGCTGGACAGGTGCTCTACCACCGAGGTACATTTCCAGCCCCAGACCCTGGGCAATTTAGTTATCTGGGCTGTTTCCTGATTCATAAAATATGTTCAGTTAAATACAGTCTACCTCATAAAGCTGTTGTGAGGACCAAATAACATTATTCATAAAGGCTTGGTAAGGTGCCTGATACGCAGTGAGCGCCCAATTAACTTGAAAGCTGCTGTTGTTACTGGGCTCTGAGGTCCAAAAGTTAGGTCTTCTGCCCTCAAAGAACTGTCAACTTAATCAGAGAAAAGAGGATCCTGAAAACGGACAAAAGAGGAAGGCCACTAACAGGTCTATAGCACAGGGAGAGCCTGTCGGTTAGAAACCATGGCAATCAGGTCTCCAAGGACAAGCAGAGATTTGCCAGGAGAACACAGAAGGACATCCTAGGCAAGGACAAGTATCTGACCAAGGATACGAAGGGACCCGCTAACAGTCTGCAGAAAAGCGCTGCCCGCACATACTCACGGCGCGTGTCGGCGGAGGCGCTCTCCCTCCTCACCCGCTGCAACAGCACCGAGGGTCGTCCAGCCCCTGCACAGGGAGATATAAGGCACAGACGCGTAGGGTGAGGATTGAGAAGTTCTTTGTGCTGGAGGCTCCACTACTTCTGACCCTGACCTCAGCCTGCTGCCCGCTGCTCACCCCTGGCCACCGCTGAAGCCCCCAAGAGTCCCCGCCACCAGACCCTGGCCGCCGCGGCCGCCATGTTCCTCGGATGCAAACCAGGCTGCCAAGGGAAGGGCTCTTAGGACACGGAACCTCAAGGGCACGGACCGGAAGCGGAAATGTGCAACAAATCTTCTTCCGGGCGGTTGTGAGGTCGGAAGCAGGGGTTCCGGGCTCCGGGATGAAAGGAGGGAACGCAGGTGAGAAAACAAGACCGGCTACTGGGGAAACCGTGAGGTGAACCTAACCCTAGGCCGCTGAGGCAGAAATTGGAGACACGGCGAAGACGCTGAAGAACCGGACTGGTGAGAGGAGAAGGGATGGTTATTCTGAGTTCTACCTTCCATACCCCTCCCCCGCTCCCCGAGCCAAGCTTTTGAGGAGAGAGGGCGGGTGGGTGGGCGTCGGGGGTGGGGAGAACAGTTTCCCTAGCGACCGTTTCCCAGGCGACTCCAGGTGGAACAGACACAACACTGGGCATGGGCGTCCTCGTGCCCCTAGTTGGGGACAGCTGGGCTCTGTCTCAAGCTCTGGGACGGAGCTTTAGAGATTCATTAGGGCGAGCGGGTAAAGGAGGAACAGAAACCCAGAAAAGAGAAAAAGTGAGGCTGATGAGTGTCCCAGGCCAAGCTTCATGTAGGAGAGTCTGAACTCCATGTACAGGGGAAGAGGGAAACTAGCCCCAAGGACGTGGCGAGGTTTTTTGTGTTTTTTTTTCCCCCCAACCTGGTTCTGCATCCTCTTACTAATTTTATGCCCATGGTATTTAGATATTAAGGGGTTTGAGATCATAAGCTTTCTCCAGCCCCTTGCTTTCATGTGTTAACCTAAATCCCAAGTCTTCTGTTACATTATGGAGAGAAATAGTCAGTGTTCTCTCAGGCAAAACATCAGAAGTTTGAGCTCTTATTGATTTTATCAGGGGAAGGGCACCACAGATTAAAATGAACCCAGCTTTGGTTGAAGGAGAGGCCAGTATGGACTAAGGCCAGTCTGGACTCCCTTTGCTTTCAGTTTTTCCTTTTCCCTCTCTGAGTGGGACAATTGGGTTCACAGACTAGGGTGTGATTTCCCCAAGTTACTCAAGGTAGGTTGCTTTGCAGACAGCTGGCAGAGAGAGAAGTTGGCTACCATGGAATCACCAGAGGAGCCTGGAGCATCCATGGATGAGAACTATTTTGTGAACTACACTTTCAAAGATCGGTCCCATTCAGGACGGGTGGCTCAAGGCATCATGAAACTATGTCTAGAGGAGGAGCTGTTTGCTGATGTCACCATTTCAGTGGAAGGCCGGGAGTTTCAGCTGCACCGGCTGGTCCTCTCAGCTCAGAGCTGCTTTTTCCGGTCCATGTTCACTTCCAATCTGAAGGAGGCTCACAACCGGGTGATTGTGTTGCAGGACGTCAGTGAGTCAGTTTTCCAGCTCCTAGTTGATTACATCTACCATGGGACTGTGAAACTTCGAGCTGATGAGCTGCAGGAAATTTATGAGGTGTCAGACATGTATCAGCTGACATCTCTCTTTGAGGAATGTTCTCGGTTTTTGGCCCGCACAGTGCAAGTGGGAAATTGCCTTCAGGTGATGTGGCTGGCAGATCGGCACAGTGATCCTGAGCTCTACACTGCAGCCAAGCACTGTGCCAAGACTCACCTGGCCCAGCTGCAGAGCACAGAGGAATTTCTCCATTTGCCCCACCATCTACTCACTGATATCATCTCAGGTAAGTATAGGGAGGGGGCACATCATATCCACTTACTTCGGTATGATGTTCAGATTGTTCTAGTTCAAGACAAAGGAACTCTCAAACTTTCTGCTCTTAATTTATATTATTATCCCCGGGAGGAATGTAGATTGAAGTTGAGAATCAGTGTGGCCACAATTAGAGACAGAGTGCCTTAGAGAAGCAGCACTTTCCCATTAAAGGTAGTGGGAAATCTGTTCTGTGCTTAAGTGTTCTCATCTCTCCTGTACTTTGCCTGTGAAACTAGTTTCCTAAGTAAATTGATGATGAACCAAGAAATCTAAGATAAACTTTTTTAGTAAAAGTCCTGACCCTGCAACTGAGATAAAATCACACTTTAGGTGTGAGGGCTTCACCCTTACAACTCGTAGGTTGCTTCCATGGCAAATAGGAGCATATCAAGCCAACCATTTTAATTTTTAAAAATGAGGCAAAGGTCTGGGAGTGTAGGTCAATGGTGGGCTCTTGACTAGCATGAGTGTAGTCCTGGGTTTGATTCCCAGCACTGCCAAAAAGGCAAGGCAATTTCAGTTTAATTTCACACATATGTACACATACACACACACAGTGCTGGACGAATAAACTAGATCACATCTTTAAAGTCCCTTGCTCTGAATTTCTCTTTCAAATTGTCAGACTGTTATTGACCATGCTTTTCTTTTGACTCTTACAGATGGTGTTCCATGTTCCCAGAACCCAACAGAAGCAATAGAAGCCTGGATCAATTTTAATAAAGAGGAAAGAGAGGCTTTTGCAGAGTCACTTAGGACTAGCTTGAAGGTAAGGCAGATTTCTTAAGAATTGGGGCACCAGCCAGGTACTGTGGCACACACCTATAATCCTGGCAACTAGGGAGGCTGAGTCAGGAGGATCACAAGTTTGAGGCCAGCCTCAGCAGCTTAGTATGACCCTAAGCAACTTAGCAAGACCCCATTTAAAAAGGGGGGAGGGGTGCTGGAGATAGAGCTTAGTGGTGAAGTGCCTTTGGGTTCAATCTCTAGTATCAAAAAACAAACAAATAGAATTGGGCACCTAAATCTCCATACATTCCAGCCATCACCTGGCCTGGCCTCTTTCATGACTATTAAATAAATTGTCTATTGCTTGAAGTTGCTATGATAGGGAGAGGAGTGTTTTGATCCCAGAAGCCACCAATCTATGAGCTTCAAAAGCTCCTCAAGTGAACTACTTTCATCATTTGGTTAATAATCTTTTGTCTGAAGCACAATTTATGATAGTTTTTTTAAAAGCTGCAAGAGTGAGTGGCACAACAGATTCTCTACCTCTGCATCAAATGCCTGAAAGAGTAATTAGAGGAGTCAGGAAGACCGACGGTGATTGGAGGGGAGTAGGTTACAAAAGGATATGAGTGAGAGGCTCAGGACTTAAAGATACTTGTCTCATTGAACTGACATATCATTATAATTTTAATTTTGGCAACAGGAAATTGGGGAGAATGTGCACATTTACCTTATTGGAAAAGAGTCATCCCGTACCCACTCGTTAGCTGTGTCCTTACACTGTGCTGAAGATGACTCCATCAGTGTAAGTGGCCAGAATAGCTTGTGCCACCAGATCACTGCAGCCTGCAAGCATGGTGGAGACTTATATGTGGTGGGAGGTTCCATCCCAAGGCGCATGTGGAAGTGCAACAATGCCACCGTTGACTGGGAGTGGTGTGCACCTTTGCCCCGAGACCGGCTCCAACACACCCTGGTGTCTGTGCCTGGGAAAGATGCCATATATTCACTGGGTGGCAAGACACTGCAGGATACCCTCTCAAATGCAGTCATCTATTATCGGGTAGGTGATAACGTATGGACAGAGACAACTCAGCTAGAGGTGGCTGTGTCAGGGGCCGCTGGTGCCAATCTCAACGGAATCATCTACTTACTAGGGGGAGAGGAGAATGACCTGGACTTCTTTACAAAACCTTCCCGACTTATCCAGTGCTTTGACACAGAGACAGACAAGTGTCACGTGAAGCCCTATGTACTACCCTTCGCAGGCCGCATGCATGCAGCAGTGCACAAGGATCTGGTGTTTATTGTGGCTGAAGGGGACTCCCTGGTGTGCTACAATCCCCTGCTAGACAGCTTCACTAGGCTTTGCCTTCCGGAGGCCTGGAGTTCCGCCCCATCCCTCTGGAAGATCGCCAGCTGCAATGGGAGCATCTATGTCTTCAGGGACCGATACAAGAAGGGAGATGCCAACACCTACAAACTTGACCCTGCCACTTCAGCTGTAACTGTCACTAGAGGCATTAAGGTGCTGCTTACCAATTTGCAGTTCGTGTTGGCCTAAGGTGGTGACAGGAAGAGCAGCTGACTCCTTCACCCTCCCTTTTTCAGACTCCTCCCTAAACTCAAAATTCCCTGAGCCCCAATTCAAAGTTATGTTATTCTGGGCAGCACCTCATCTCTTCCTTGAACACATAGGGTGTTTTGTTTGGGTATTTTGAGACTGTTGATATAGAGCTGGCTGCTTGAACTGAGAGGTGGCCAGCCTGTTCTCTGCCATCCCCGCTGATCCTATGCCTCATTACAGATTGCTTAGTGTGAGCCTTTTCTCAGACCTTAGGCACAGCCTCCCCTCTTTACCTAATCAATGTAAAATAGGAGCACCTCATCCCAGGGTGGAAGGAAAGATTCCCATCCCTACTTTTTCTACAGTCTATGAAGTGGCTAGTTGATCATTTTACCACAAAGAATTAGGTGTTAAATTTTCCTTCAGGCTTTGGATGGGAAAATGGACTTAGCTAAAGGTGTATTTCACCAGCAGGGGTCAACTCTAGAATTTAGGACGTTCCTTTTATCATTTTCTCATCTTCTGTCAGAAAAAGCAACTTTGGTTTTATTTTTGGCTTACTCCAATGTGAGTAAGCTAGAAAGTAGAAAGAATTATTTCTGATTAATAGCAGAAACTTGTTTTTCAGACTCAAATATATAAGGTCTCTGCTCTTTTAAAAGCTCTAAGCTAAATCAAGAGCTAGGAACTGTTCATAGAAATAAAAGTTTTTGAAAGGATATGTGCATCTGTGTTGAATCCTGAGGGGTGACTTCCTAAGAAGAACTAGTCACATACCCATACATTTATTTTTTGGTGGGGGGTACCAGGGATTGAACTCAGGGGCACTCAACCACTGAGCCACATCCCCAGCCTTATTTTGTATTTTATTTTAGACACAGGGTCTCACTGGGTTGCCTAGCGCCTTGCTTTTGCTGAGGCTGGCTTTGAACTCATGATCCTCCCCCGTCTCAGCCTCCTGAGCTGCAGGGATTATAGGAGTGCACCACTGCGCCCAGCATACCCATATCCATATATTTCTAAATCAGCAATCCTGCCTGCATCCCATGCATTCTTTTTTTTTTTTTTTTGGTGGTGCTGGGGATTGAATCCAGGGCCGTGTGCATGCGAGGCAAGCACTCTACCAACTGAGCTATATCCCCAGCCCCCCGCCCACCCTCGTGCATTCTTTTTTACATGCTCCAGAAGTGTGAGGGATGCCCCCACAGGGCCAGTAAATTTGGGGTTCTAACAGTAGCAAAAAGCCAGAGCTGAGTATTTTTTCCTTTCTTTTTCTACAGTTAAATGTCTTTGAGTTATGATATTAAATATCTTTAAGTATAATTTTAGGTACATAATAGATTTTTGTTGAAATGAATATTTCTTGGTGCTATTAAAGAAAACAAGATTTAGGGGCTGGGGTTGTAGCTTAGTGGTAGAGTGCTTGCCTAGCACATGTGAGGCACTGGGTTGGAGCCTCAGCACCACATAAAAGTAAATATAAAAAGGTATTGTGTCCATCTACAACTAAAAAAAAAAAAATGTAGATACACTAAGTCTTCCTCTGTAGGCATATAACAGTGTTAATTTAGGAAAATAAGACACAAGAAAATTGTCCACTACTTAGCACATTTCTGTTCCGTCAAGTCTGGGCTTTTAAGCCCTTTTGGTCCTATACAACTTCTTTATTCTGTATCAAGCAGCATTGTTTAGTTCTTTCAAATCCACACATTTCAGTGTCATCTTGCTGCCCTTGTAGAAATCTCCTTGTGGAACTCTTTGAGAATTTCCATCTGGCCAGGTCTGACGTAGATGTGGGAGCGGATCTTGGAAATGGCTCTGACAGCCTCCTCTGGGCTATAGTTGTGTACCTAAAGTAGATGGTTGGGAAATCAACAGAGAAAGAAAGGGTCAGATGTTCAGATGCCCTGGACCTATGGGGGTGTTGAACGACTCCTAGAATTCCTTTTTTCAGAAAAGTCCATTTGAGCTGGGCACAGTGGCACATGCCTGTAATCCCAGTGGCTTGGGAGGCTGAGATAGGAGGATCATGAGTTCAAAGCCAGCCTCAGCAAAAGTGAGGCACTAAGCAACTAAGTGAGACCCTGTCTGTAAATAAGATACAAAATAGGGCTGGGGATATGGCTCAGTGGTTGAGTGCCCCTGACTTCAATTCCCTGTATCCCCACCAAAAAAAAGGCCATTTGAGGAGGGCTGTTAAAAATCATGCTGTGGGCTGGGGATGTGGCTCAAGCGGTAGCGCGCTCGCCTGGCATGCGTGCGGCCTAGGTTTGATCCTCAGCACCACATATAAAAACAAAGATGTTATGTCCGCCAAAAACTAAAAAATAAATATTAAAAAAAAAAATCATGCTGTATTACCAGTGTGGTACTTGAGGCTGAAGCAAAAAGATCACTTGAGCTCAAGGCTAGTCTGGGCAAGATAGCAAGACTCCATCTCAAAAAAACAAAACAAAACCCCATACTCCACGTATGATAAATGGAGAGCACTTTAATCATCTCAGTCAACCAGGCCCACAATAGTATGCCAATTCTTATGCTTCCAAACTCTGGAAAAAGGTTAAAGGTGAAGCTGAGACCCTAATCTCAAAACTGCCTAGGCCTCACCAATATCCTAAGTTCTGAGCTGAAATTTTAGAAGAATTTCTAGGATGGGCTGAGGGTATAGCTCAGTAGTAAGGTGCGTGCTTAGCATACACAAGGCCCTGGGTTCAATCACCAGAACCACCAATAGAAATTTATAGGAAAGAGTATAAAATGGGTGTTTTTGTTTTTTGTGTTACTGGGGATTGAACCAGGTGCTCTACCACTAACCTATATCCCCAGTTCTTGAGTACTGTTTATAGTCATTTACTCACCAGTCCATAGTAACACAAAACTAGGCAGATTACCACATTTCCTTTGTCCTTTGGCCTGAGGATCAAACTCAGGGCCTCAGACCTGCAAAGTTAGTGCTTTGAGCTATAGCCCCAGCCCACATGACTTAGAAAATATTTTGTAGGGGCCAGACTGGTAACAAAAATGAGTGTTTTTTATTTATTTTGAAATAAGGTCTTTTTTTTTTTTATTGGTTGTTCAAAACATTACAAAGCTCATGATATATCATCTTTCATACATTTGACTCAATTGGGTTATGAACTCCCATTTTTACCCCAAATACAAATTGCATAATCACATCGGTTACACACTCACATTTTTACATAATGGCATATTAGTGACTGTTGTATTCTGCTACTTTTCCTATCCCCTACTATCCCCCCTCCCCTCCCCTCCCATCTTCGCTCTCTACCTCATGAAACAAGGTCTTGCTGTGTTGCTTGGGCAGGTCTTGAACTGGGCTCAAGTGATTCACCTGTCTCAGTGTAACAAGCAGCTGGTACTACAGGTACATGCCACAGCACATGTTAAAATATTTTTAAGCATCCTACTGCTAGTCAGCAAATAGGTAAAATTTGGTTTGGATACTCTCTTTCTAGAAACTAATGTTCAGGGGCACTTAAACCACTGAGCCACAACCCCAGCCCTTTTTATTTTTTATTTTGAGTAAGGGTCTCACTGAGTTGCTGAAGCTGGCCTCAAACTTGTGATCTTCCTGCCTCAGCCTCCCAACTTGTTGGGATTACAGGCATGAGCCACCACACCTGAAACTCAAGAAATATTTGAAGAAACCTGAGTACTATAGACCTGAAAGTGATTAGCACTAATATTATCTATAGTACTCGAGCTTCATACCACATTTAGTTTGAGGAAACTAAACATCAGAGTCCAACTTTGTATGCTTTGGCAGGTGTCAGAGCCAAAGGTTAGCCTATCCATGAATCTCAGGTGCTTTGCATGACACCACACCACCTACAGACAGCCTATTATTGGGTAATGGCTCCCCCCAGCAAGGCCTGCCAGTAACCATACTATTGAACTTCTGGAAGTTTACTGTAAAAGAGATCAGTCCAGAAATACCTGCATCATCCAAAAAAAATACCTGCATTAGATATGCTGCAACCATAGTGGCACTTCTGGAGCGTCCAGCTTTACAATGCACGTAGACACAATGGCCCAATGACTGGTACTTGAGTGCAAAGCGAACTCCTCTGTGGAGGTTGGCCAAGGTGGGGATCCCAGTCATGTCGACTGTGCTGAGCCGCAGCTGCTCAACTCCTACTCTCTTCCACTCCTGAAATCAGGTCCACCAGCATAAAAGAGAGAATGAAAGAAACCTGATGTGGACGGCATGAATAGGGTCTGTCTTCCAAGGGACAGCAAAGCAACAGGAAATTTAAAGGTTTACTACAATGTGAATATACTCTTTTCCATTTTCTAAAAAAGAAATTTTTTTAATAGAAATGCCCTTAAAATGGCTGACTACATGGCTGGTCTTTCATCTAACAGCTATGCTGCTGATTAGAACTGTGTCCCAGATTTAAAGCTAGGCATGCCGTCTGCCACTGAGCTACCTACCCAGCCCTTAAACTTTTCTTTTCTTTCTTTTTTTTTTTTTTAGTTGTAGATGGACACAGAATATTTATTTATTTATTTTTATGTGGTGCTGAGGATCAAACTCAGGGCCTCAGACCTGCAAAGTTAGTGCTTTGAGCTATAGCCCCAGCCCCATTTTCTTCTTTTTTAAATAACTTTCTTTTGCTTATTTTCTTTTTTTTTTTAATTTGTGGATGGACACAATACCTTTATTTTATTTATTTATAATGTAGTCCTGAGGATCAAATCCAGTGCCTCCTATACTAGGCAAGCACTCTACCCCTGAGCCACAACCCCAACTCCAAACTATTTTTGTGTGTGTGTGTGTGGTGCTGAGGATTGACCAGGGTCTTGTGCGTGCTAGGCAGGCACTCTACCACTGAGCTATATCCCCAGCCCTCTTTTTTTTTTTTTAATAGTTTTTTAGTTGTTGTAGATGGACTCAATGTCTTTTTTTTTATTTATTTACTTATTTTACACATATGAGGCAAGTGCTCTACTGCTGAGCTACAACTCCAGACCCTTATTTATTCATTTATTTTTATGTGGTGCTGAGGATCGAACCCAGTGCCTCACACATGTGAGGCAAGCCCTCTACCGCTGAGCTATAGCCCCAGCCCCCTCTTTTTTGGGTACCAGGGATTGAACTTAGGGGCACTCTGACCACTGAGCCACATCCCCACCCCTATAAAATACAAAATAGGGTTGCTTAGTGCCTTGCTTTTGTTGAGGCTGGCTTTCTTTTTTTTTTAGTATTTATTTTTTTAGTTGTAGTTGGATACAAAACCTTTATTTTATTTATTTATTTTTATGTGGTGCTGAGGATAAAACCCAGGGCCTCACACATGCTAGGTGAGCGTTCTACCACTGAGCTGGCTTTGAACTTGCGATCCTCTTGCCTCAGACTTCCAAGCTGCTGGGATTACAGGTGTCTGCCACTGCACCTAGCCAAAACTACTCTTAAAGTACTCTTTAAACCAGGTGCAGTGGTGCATGTGCTTGTAATCCTGTTAATTCAGGAGGTTGAGGCAGAACTCCCAAATTCAAGGCCAGTCTCAGCAACTTATCGAGACCCTGTCTTAAGATAAAAATTTTTAAAAAGTTGGTTTGTAGACATAGCTCAGTGGCAGAGTGGAGTGCTTACCTAGCATATGAAAGGCCCTTGGTGCAATGCCCCAATACCCCCCAAACAACAACAAAAAACCCAACCTGAAAGAACCAGATGCTAATCAACCAGTTATTTAGCTGGGTGTGATGGTATATGCCTGCAATCTCAGCTACTCAGGAAGTGGAGGCCGGCCGAAGGACAGCAAGGCCAGCCTGAGCACTTTAGACCCTACCTCGAAAATAAAAGAACTGGGGATGTGGTTTAGTGGTAGCATACCCCTGGGTTCAATATCCAGTATTAAAAAAAAAAAAAAGCATGGCAGGTAGGATGTAGCTCAGTGGTAAAGGGCCCCTGGGTCCAACCCCAATACTGCAAACTAAGTACCCTTCAGATATTTGAATCTTTAGCTGCAAAATATTGTATAAAATTTGGCTGCAAAAGTTATGGGGTTAGGGGAGGTAGCTCTAGTGGTAGAGTGCTTGCCTGGCCTGTACAAAGGTTTGGGTTTAATTCCCAGCACTTCTATACATCAAAAAAAAAAGCTTTTGCCTAATTTTGAGACCTGTCTAGTGAGTGATTCAGCTGCAGATTGAGGGTACTATATTTTATCCCAAGTATATACATTTTTACCACTTTTTTTGAGGGATACATCTAAAAATAGGTTTATAATTTTAAAATTGAAACATATCTACTTGTGAAATATTATCACTTAAAAAGAAGAAATGGGAGAAATAAAGCCTCTGTTAAACTGGGCAACTTTATATTTGCTTTATGATATGCTCCAGCTACTCTTTTTGTATGTGTATGGCATAGTATTGAGGATAGAACTAAAGAGCTCACTCATCCTCAGCAAGTGCTCCACCACTAAACTACATCCCCAGTGCTTTTTCTTTTCTTTCTTTTTTTTCTTCTTCTTCTTCTTTTTTTTTTTTTTAATTTGTTCTTTTTCCTTTTTATTTTGAGATAGGGTCTAAGTTGCCCACATTGGCCTCTAACTTGCTATCCTGGCTTAGACACTGTAATCGAGCTACTCTTTATTAACCTCTTTTGTGTGTACCGAGATTTTTATGACATTGAATGAAGGTCTGTATTTAATTCTACTTATAAAATTAACAAAAACTGAAAGAGTTTTGCAGGTGTAGCTTATGCATCAATTGCATCAGAAACACCTGTAGAGTTGCTAAATACTCAGATTCCTGGACCCCACCCTAAAGTTACTGAGTCAGAATCTCTGAGGGTTGTAAGTAGGAATATGCTATTTTAGCAAGATTGCCAGATGATTTTTAGGCATATTAAAATGTGAGAACCATTGCCTTGGAGATTTCTTTTCCCTGCAATAGTGGGATGGTATAGCTCCATTTTACAAATGTCAATGCCTCACATAGAAAGACAAGCATATTTTGCAGATGTCCAGTAACTTCGGACTCCCCTTGCACCACAGGACTGACCACAGTAATGAACATTTACTGTTTTGGCTAATGACCCTCGAGGCCTTGTTGCAAAGTACTTTGGGAAATCCAAGGAGCTGTTATCCATCCTTTTTTTTTTTTTAATGTTTATATTTTAGTTTTAGGTGGATACAATATCTTTATTTTTATGTGGTGCTGAGGATTAAACCCAGTGCCTCACAGGTGCTAAGCAAGCACTCTACCACTTGAGCCACAACCCAAGCCCCATCCGTTCCTTAAAATGTTACTGGTCAGGCAATGACAAACGACTCCATTTTACCCTGAGACTCCATGTCATCTAAGAAATGCTTCTCCCATGAGAAATTTCCATCTCTGCCATCTTGATCCTGCTTAGCACACCCTGCTTAGAAACGCAAATGCTTCTGTTCTCATACAATGTAAAATTGTTGGGAGCTGCCACATAGGAACAAACTGGGCACCCCTTAGCCTTGAGCTATGAGAATGTGGAGATGTGGCAATCCATGAGCTCTGAGCGCACAAAGTGGACTGAATCCACGTTGCCCCGGTTGGGTGCGCCTCGCTCTGGTCTTTTTGCTCACTCTGCCTATGCTCCCCACACAGCTCATGAGATGGGCATGGCCTTCCTAGAGGTAATCAATTGGCTAGACTCAACCCCTGAAACCTGACCCCTTGCCTCATTTGAATGGCTTTCCCCTTTAGAAGGGTTCAGCATGTGTTCCCCTCTCGCTTTCCATGGACCCCTAAGGTCAGAGGAGCTATCACAGGACCCAAAGAAAAAGATATGTCTCTGTCTCTGTGTGATTATTTCGTGCCAGCCCAGTTCACCTGGAGTGACCTTGAGTGTTTAGTCATGGGACACAACATAAAATTGTTCTCTTTTTGGTTCCTATTTTTCTTGGACGATGTACCTTATCAGAATGATTGTATAGATATTAGTACACATTCTTCAACTTGTACTCAACTAGGCATTTTGACCCACTTCCCCTCTGCTTATGATTTTAGATCTCATGATGTTTGTTTATGGTTTTGAATCATAGCAACATCCACTTATGATTAATGTAGTTTTGGACTATAAAGGTGTACTCTAACCCTTGGAAGGGGTTGAAGAATGTAGACTTGCAGCCTGCCCTTTGGCTCACCAGATGGTGAATCCAGACCACCAGCCGGTAAATAAATGTCCTATCTTCTGCTTTAAGATAAGATCGACTCAGTGATTTATTGCAATCTCACCATAATAAAAATGTATGCCAAGAGGGGGTGGGTGTAGCTCAGTAGTAGAGGGTCCAATCCCCAGCACCATAGGCATGTCAAAAATGTATGCCATGGCTGTTGTGGTGGCACACACCTGTAATCCCAACAGCTCAGGAGGCTGAGTCAGGAAGATCACAAGTTCAAAGCCAGCCTCAGCAACAGCAAGACATTAAGCAACTCAGTGAGACCCTGTCTCTAAATAAAATACAAAATAGGACTGGGGATGTGACTCAGTGGTCAGAGTGCCCCTGAGTTCAATCCCTAGTACCAATAAATAAATATATATATATATATATATATGTATATATATATATATATATATATGCCATGACTAATTCTTACTAACATACACATGTGCACGTATGTGTGTGGTGCTAAGGACAAATCCAGGGTCACACATATGAGAGGCTAAATGTGCTCTCCCACTGAGCTACATTCTCAGCCACTAATTGTGGGGAGCCATTCTCACACGTGACTGGGCAACTCCTGGTTTGGGTCTGAGGCGCTCTGGCTAAAATGTGTTGGAGCTTTCCCGGCCCTCTCCTGGTGCGAGAGCCTGTCCGTGTGGGGGTGTGACTGACCACTGACCCCGGGGTCCAATCACTGACCCTGACCTTGGAGTGCAGCCCCCCTCAACCTTCATTGGATGGAATTCTCCCCTGAATTTCTTGTTCCCCAATAAAAGGCTGCTCCCTGGCGTGCTCCCTCTCTCTCTCTCCTGCTAGCCCTGAGTAATCCTTGCTGCCCTACCGGGTGGTTCGAGGTGGAAACCAGAGGGGGAGCCATCTCGGACCTGGTCATAGAAAAAGGTAACTGAGTCTGTGTGTTTATTTCGATCTCACTAGTTAACTTTTATGCCAAGAACCTCTTTAATGAAACCAGTGCGCTGGTCGCATGGTGGAATTTGGCGCCCAACGTGGGGCTGCGAGCAAATATTTTCTATCAGGCTCTGTACAAAAGGTGTATTCGGACCATACGTCTCACATGCACTTTTTAGTTCCTTAATGGTTTTAAATGGGATTACAGCATGAACTCTAACTCTCTGATCTTGCTCATTAACTTGCTCAAAAACTGGAAAAAGTTGAAAACCGCTAGTATCTTCCCCAGCTTCCTGTGCTTTCTTAATACCTCGCTGGAATGGGGTAAGAAAAGTCATTGTTAATTCAATACCTGTTAAATTTTGTCCTTTTAGGGCTGGGGATGTGGCTCAAGCGGTAGCGTGCTCGCCTGGCATGCGTGCGGCCGGGGTTCGATCCTCAGCACCACATACAAAGATGCTGTGCCCGCCGAAAACTAAAAAATAAATATTAAAAAAAAATTCTCTCTCACTATCTCTGTCTCTCACTCTCTCTTTAAAAAAAAAAAAAATCTGTTAAATTTTGTCCTTTTAGCAGGTAATGGCCGAATTCGAATAGCCTGGGCAGGCGGTGTTAAACGCAGCCTGTTAAAATTTCTCTGTAAGTCCTGAATTTCAACGTCTGACTCTTCTCCCTCGGACTGTGAGTCGTGGGTAGACTCTTCGCTGTCGCCATTTTGAAATTGGGCTTCTAAGCCACGTGGCGGAGAAGAACTCTGTGCCCCTCTAAGAATTTCTTCCGGATTTTCCTCCCCAGGAAGATCCTCTACCTCTTCCGGAGGACTTTCTAGGACTGCGGAGGTTTCTCCTTTATGACCTTCCTCTCTATAATCTCCCTGAGGGCTAGCCTGATCCTGCAAGTTTAAAGTCACATTCCTAACCTTTGGTTTGGCCCCTAGAGCCTTTGTTTTTCAAGGGAAAGGGAATTAACTTAGCCTATTCCATTTGAATAGAACTAATAGCTCTTTGAATGCCTTTTAATAGATCTTCAGGGGGCCACGAACTCTGGCCCATATATTCAAAAAGACAAACTTCCAGAGCCGGTCCAAGTTTTCTGAATATTCTCTATACCTCCAGGTAATTCATTAGAAAGACAAACTTTTTGTAACTTCCTTCCTAGTTTCTCCCAAGTAAGTAAATTTGGAGACTCCTGTTCACAAAACCAAGGACAATATTCGCCTACAATCTTTAAGAATTGTAATAACTGAGCTTTCTTTATCTGTTTTCCTTTCTGATTAATTATACTGTCTAAAATAGTCAGATACATTTCCTTATCCGTAGAAGTTGAATTTCCCATTTTAATTAATTTAACGTCTCTTTCCTTCAATATCTCCAGGTACTTTTGTGACTCTAAATTGTCACCACTTCCTTTATCTTTATAGCGTGCTTTTGTGGATTTTTTAAAATTGTTTTTATAAATCTTTATAAAAGATTTTTTGGGGGCTAGGATTGTTGCTCAGCGGTAGAGTGCTTGCCTAGCATGGGCAGAACCTGAGTTCGATCCTCAGCATCACATGGAAAAAAAAAAAAAAAAGAGATTTTTTGGCCTTTATGTTCTAGAAGTTTGCGCTAGGAGAGTGAGAAAAAGGGAGAGAAAATGTGATGTTTACCTGGAGAGAAATAAGTTTCAATTTTCTATTGTTTTTGTCAATACTCAGAAAGTATATACGGACCTTTTTACTACATGATTGTCCTATGAATCAGAATGGCTGTAACTCAGCCACTGGGGACAAGAGACTTTAACTGCTTGCTGCTCGGTATGGGGTCCTAGCCCCTGCGGCCAGCAGTGCTTTTAACCCTTAAGGTCAGAGGAGCCGTCACAGCAACCCCAAAGAAAAAGGTATTTGTGTCTCTTATGTGGTTATTTTGTGCAGCCCAGTTTAATTAGAGTGACCCCTGAGCCTTTTAGTTGTGAGAACAGAAACCTGGCAACTAATCACACACACACACACACACACACACACACACACACGCTCGCATGCGCGCGCACACTTTTTTCTTTTTCTCAGTACTAGGATTGAACCTAGAGATTCTCTACCACTGAGCTGCATCCCCAGCCTTTTTGAATTTGGAGACAGGGTCTTACTAAGTTGCGAAGGCTGGGCTCAAACTATCAATCTTCCTGCCTCAGCCTCCTGAATCAATGGCTTATATATTTAAAATGTGAGTCACAAATTTAAAGTTTCAAAACAATTTGTAGGTTGGGCTGGGGTTGTGGCTCAGTGGTGGAGCGCTTGTCTAGCATGTATGAGGCACTGGATTTAATCCCCAGAACCACATAAACAAAGAAACAATAAACAACATAAAGGTATTGTGACCATCTACTACTACTAAAATTATTTTTTAAAAAATTGTAGGTTGAAATTAACAGCATTTTCACTACCTATATCAGTATAATAGAGAAAGATCATTGTTTAGTAATAATAGGGCAGCATGTACTAATAACCATTATGGAAGGGTCCACAAGCAAGCATTCATATTTAATGAAAATTACATTTTGGACTGAACTTTATTATGACAGTATTTCAGAGTTCAATCCTAATCTCTAACATTTTAATATGGTAAAAATTCACCCAAATCAGAGCCAAATGAATGAACTCTTTTTAGCTTTTCAATGGATAATTTTATGACACATTTAGATGGTAAGAGTGTTGGGAGGGTGCTTTTCTTTTTACATTTGCTAGGGATTTCATCTTGAATGCCTCACAGTGCCTGACCCGTATTGAATACTTAATAAGCATTACATGGGATGAATGATGGAATGAGCAAGGCACAGTTTTTGTCTTTCAATTTCAGTCACTGATTTTTTATTTATTTATTTATTTTTAGGTACTTAGGATTGAGCCCAGTGGCGCTTAACATCCTCACCCCTTTTTTTTTTAATCTTTTTAAAGTTTTTGTTTTGAGACAGGATCTTGCTAAGTTGCTGAAGTTGGTCTAGAACGTGAGATCCTCCTGCCTCAGCCTCCTGAGTTGCTGGGATTTTAGATGTGCATCATCACTGCCTCAGGCTCAGTTACTAATTTGAAAGGCAGAAATTAAGAATAAAATTTTGTGCATAAAGGGGTTTTTGTCAACTTTACTTTTCCATCTCTTGTTTTGTTTTGTTTTGAGATAGGGTCTCAAATGTTGCCCAGGCTGTCCTCCAACTCCTCTAGCCTCAGCCTCCCGAGTGCTGGGGCTTTCACGTTTCTATCTCCAACTGCTGCAATTTGAGCTTGTAAGACCAGATAGATTCTCCTCCCAAGGAGGCAAACAAGCTTGGGAGTTCTGTCTTGAAGCATGGTCATCGCCGCGTACTTCCTCCCCTAAATTTCTCCGGGTCTCCCAGGCCTGGGGCGGTGGGCGAAGCTGGCGAGCGAAGCTGGCTGGCAGGCGCCCCCGCCCCAGCTCCTCCCCGGGGGCCCGGACCCCTCACCTTTGAGGAGTTGCACAGGAACCTCGTCTCGTACTCCTCGTTCATGGTGATCACCCCGCGCACGTTCTCCTCCTGTATCAGCTGCCGAAGCAAAGAGCCGGCTCAGCAAGGGCCGCGGGGACCCGGGGTGGGCCGGGCCGCGAAGGGGCCCGCGGCGCGGAGGCCGGGCCCCGCCGTCCCGCTCACCTTGTGCGTCATGCCCCGCAGCGGCAGCGCGCCCAGCAGCACCGTGTGGTCGATGCGGTGGTACCAGTCGCGGTGCGCCGGACCCCGCACCTTCCCGCGAAACACCGTGTACAGCAGCGTCGGGTAGAAGAGCGCCCGGGCCAGGCCGGCCTGCATCCACGCGGAGGCCGCCATCCGGCCCCGCCCGGTCCGGCGCTGCGACGTGCCGCTCGTTCCCAGGCTCGAGGTCTGCGACCGCAAGGACAACGAGGGCGAGGTCTGCGGGCAGCCTGAGGCCTCGCGGGGAGACGGCGCAGTCGCCGCGGGCTCCTCAGGAGCCAGGGTCCGGGGCTCGCAGCCCTGGGCTTGTGGGTCTTGGCCTGGGGCTCCCGGGGCGGGCTCCACGGCTCCGGAGGAGGGGCCGCCGGCCTCGGGGGAGGGACCAGGCTGTCGGCGTGAAGCAGATCCCCGGCGCGCAGCGCCCTGCGCTCCGGGGCCACTGGCCTGTGAGCCTGCGGCTTGCGAAACTGGGACCCCGCCTGTGGCCAGTGGTAGGCCTCGCCGGCAGGGGTCGCGTCCCAGATGAAGGGGCACGACCTCTGAGGGTGGAAGTGTGACCCGGCCGAAGGAGGAAGGACACTGCCCCGACCCCGGCCGGAAGGAGGGGCAGTGATTCCAGGTGCCCCCTCCAAATAAAAGGGGAGACGAGATGAGGAAGAGCCTCTGCGGTGGGGTGCTGACGCATGCCGGTGATCCTAGCGATGCAGGTGGATCTCAAGTTCAAGGCCAGCCTGGGCAACTTCTCTAAATTAAAAAAAGGGGGGGGGGGCGCAGGGATGTAACTCAGTAATAAATCTCCCTGGGACAGTACAAGAAAAGGGAAAAGATGGGCTGGGGGTTTAGCTCAGTTGGTAGAATGCTTGCCTCCCATGTGCAAGGCCCTGGATTGAATCCCCAGCAACACACACACACACACACACAAGGGAAAGGGAAAGAGAAAGAAAGAAAAGACTCATGGTCTAAGGGTTCCATTCCTAGTGTGGCAAAATCAAAGCAAAAAACCACCTTTTATAACAGCTTTATTGAGATACAACTCACGGGCTGGGGATATAGCTCAATTGGTAGAGTGCTTGCCTTGCATGCAAAAGGCCCTGGGTTCAGCAGTGGAACGCTTGCTTAGCACGTGTGAGGCCCTGGGTTTGCACCACCTAAAAAAAATAAATACATAAAATAAAGGTATTGTGTCCAACTACAACTAAAAAACAAATATTAAAAAAATTCACCCATTAAAAGTATACAGTTTAATGGGTTTTGGTTGTTGCTGGGTTTTTATTTTATTTTTGGTTTTTGTTTGTTTGTTGTACTTGGGAACAAATCCAGGGCCTTGAGCATGCTAGGCAAGAAAGCACTCTACCACTTAACTATGTCCCTAGCCCTAAAAGGTGAAAGACTTATGTAATCCAAAGACAAACCTGAGTATTCAAAGGGTTTTGGTATATTTGTAATCATCACAGTTAACTTTAGAAATTTTAATTTTGCCAGTCTGGTGTGGTGACACACCTGTATAATCCTAGTAACTAAGGAGGCTGAGGCAGGAGGATCCAAAGGCCAACCTCAGCAATTTAGTGAGTCCCTGGCTCAAAATAAAAAATAAAAGGGATTAAACATCTGTGTTTAATCCCTGGTTAAATAAATATATATATATTTTACAATAAAAATTAAAAATAGGGACTGGGGTTATGGCCCAGCTGTAGAGCGCTCGCCTCGCACATGCAAGGCCCTGGGTTTGATCCTCAGCATCACATAAAAATAAATAAGTAAATAAAATAAAGTTAAAAAAATTAAAAACAATTTTGGGGTTTGTATGTGGTGCTACACAAGTGTGGTGTACCGCTAAGCTATGTTGCCACCCCCAACAAAATGGTTTTTAAACACATAAATACATATACTTAATATAAATGATGAATAAAACAAGTGGTCTTTTATGACTTTTTAATTAAAGATTTAACCACATTGTTGTGAAGTATATATTGGTCATTTATTTATTTTTAGATATAGATGGACACAATACCTTTATTTATTTTTATGTGGTGCTGAGGTTCAAACCCAGTGCCTTATGCATGCAAGGCAAGTGCTCTACCACTGAGCTACAACCCCAGCCCCTGGTCATTTATTTTTAATGCTCTATAATCATCCGTGGGCTGTGGATGTGGCTCAAGCAGTAACGCGCTCGCCTGGCATGCGCAGGGCGCTGGGTTCTATCCTCAGCACCACATAAAAATAAAATAAAGATGTTGTGCCCACTGAAAACTAAAAAAAAAGAAAAAAAAAGAATGAGCGAGCAATCTATAATCATCCGTTATATGTTTTTTTTTTTTAATTATAGTTGTAGATGGACAGCATACCTTTATTTGTTTAGTTTTTTATGCAGTGCTAAGGATTGGACCCAGTGCCTCACACATGCTAGGCAAGCGCTCTGCCATTGAGCTACAGCCCCAGCCCCCGTTTATATCATGGAATATTTACTCATTCTCTTGAGATAGAAATTTAGGTTTATTCTAGTCTATTTTATCAATTAGGAATGCATCCGTGGTTTCAACTTTTTGGGGGGAGAAGGGAGGTTATCGGGGATTGAACTCAGAGGCACTCAACCACTGAACCACATCCCCAGCCCTATTTTGTATTTTATTTATAGACAGGGTCTCACAAGTTGCTGAGGCTGGCTTTGAACTCTTGATCTTCCTACTTCCTTCTCCTGAGCCACAGGGATTCCAGGCATGAGCCACTGTGACTGGCTGTTTCGACTTCTATGCAGTTTTTTGTTAATGCCTCCACACCTGGTTTTGTTTTATAAATTTTTATTATAATGGTGACAAGTTTGTTGTAAAAAATAGAAATATGTGATGGCGCATGCCTATAATTCCAGCAGTTCAGGAGGCTGAGGCAGGAGTAGCGTGAGCTCAAAACCATCCTCAGCAAAAGTGAGGCGCTAAACAACTCAGACCCTGTCTGAGATGTGGTTCAGTGGTTGAGTGCCCCTTAGTTCAATCCCTGGCATGCACACACACACACACACACAGACAAAATGGAAGCACTTCAAAATTACATAGTGTAAAATAAATGAAGGCCTCCTGAATCTTACTTCAGGAGATATCAGGAGTAGAGTTAGGTGCATATTCTCCCAGGGGTTTTTCCTTTTGCTTTCAGGGACTGTTAACTGTCCACCAGAATCCTTTATCTACTTCTTCTGTAGTATCTGAGTAGCCATATGCTCAGTGTCCCTTGTAGTTAGAGGGAACAGTGGACTCCACTTTCTCCAGTAGAAGGTGAACGTTGCAGCCCTCATAGGGCTAAAAAGCCTGGTCCTCAAAACCTCCACCAATGTCCATGCCCAGTTTGTCTTCCTGTGGACTAGAGTGGGGATTATAACGCCTTGAAGAATCTCAGCAGGCATGAATAGCAGATGGCACTGTTCCCTTTGGTCTGGGTCACTAAATAACTGCCTAGAGAAGCTACTTCTTTTCATTTCTCTGGGGAACATTCACCCTCATCTGTAAAGAGAGAGAGAAATAAATTTCTCATCAGGTGAAGTGGGGCAGATCTGAAATAGCAGGGACTCAAGGGGCTGAGACAAGAGTTTGAGGCCTGGATGTGCAATTTAATGAGAACCTGGCTCAAAATAAATAAAAAGGATTTGGGATGTAGCTCAGTGGTAGAATACCCTAGTACTGCTAAATTAAAAACTTTCTATTTTGTTGCAGCTATTGAATTTAGAGCCAAATGCTACAGTAGTTTAACCTATACTAATATATTTGTGCATTAGTCAGGATCTGAGTTGTAATGTGACACCAATTTAAAAACTTGTAGTAGGTGCTGGGGAGATAGATCAACTGGTAGAATGCTTGACCATGGGCTCAATCCCCAGCACTACACACAAAATAATAATAATAATAAAATAAAAAATAAAGACTTGTAGTAAAGGGCCAGGCATAGTGGCATAGCCTATAATCCCAGTGGCCCCAAAGCAACTCACTGAGACCTTATCTCTAAATAAAATACAAAATAGAGCTGGGAATTTAGTTCAGTGGTCGAGTGCTCCTGAGTTCAATCCCCAGTACGAAAATAAATAATAATATGAAAATAAAAATTGTAGTAAAATACATATTACAATATTTTTTTATTATTATTTTTTTTGTGGTGCTGGGGATTGAACCCAGGGCCTTACGCATGTAAGGCAAGCACTCTACCAAATGAGCTATATCTCCAGCTATTATTATTATTATTATTATTAGCTCTGGGGTGTTAACCAGGGGTACTTTGCCACTCAGCCAGTTCTTTTTATTTTTATTTCATATTTTCAGACAGAGTCTAAGTTGCTCAGTCTAGCCTCAAACTTACAATCCACCAACTTCCACCTCCCGAGTTGCTGAGATCATGGGTATGGACCACCATACTTGGCTCACAATTATTTTGTGCTAGTTTTGATCTGCCAGCATTTAGTTATTGAGTTGTACCCTCACTCCCTTAACTGTTTCCTTATTGATGGATGGTTGGGTAGCTACTGCTGCTGCTGCTGCTTTTCCTTCCTCTCTTTTGGTGGTGCTGGGGATGGAATCCAGGGCCATGCATGGGAGATAAATGATCTACCACTGAGCTATACCTCAGCCCCTCCCCGCCCTTTCTTTCTCTCTTTCTTTCTCTCTTTTTCTCTCCTCTCTTTTTTTTAATTAAATTTTTTTTTAAAGAGAGAGAGAGAATTTTTAATATTTATTTTTTAGTTTTCGGAGGACACAACATCTTTGTTTGTATGTGGTGCTGAGGATCGAACCCGGGCCGCATGCATGCCAGGCAAGCACACTACTGCTTGAGCCACATCCCCAGCCCTCCTCTCTTTTCTTTCTTCATAGCAGTTCCCTACAGGCAGAGGCTCTGTCTACTTATGCCTGTAACCTCATAGTCTAGTGCAGTATGTGACATACTCAAGAAACACTGGGCTGAATCAAAGAGTGCTGCAAAACAAACAAACAAAAAACATCCTTGGACACACTTCACCCTATTATTTGTTTGTTTGTTTGTTTCTTTTTCTTTTTGGCACTGAGGAATGAACTCAGGGACTCTTAATCATTGAGCCACAACCCCAGCCCTTTTTAGCTTTTAATTAGAGACAGGGTCTTTCTAAGTTACTTAGGACCTTGTAAATTGCTTAAGCTGGCTTTGAACTTGGAATCCTCCTCCTTCAGCCTCCCAAGCCATTAGGATTACAAGCGTGTGCCACTACACCTGGCTAGGATTTTATTAATAAGTCTGCTACAAGTCATTCTTTATATATATATGTGTGTGTGTGTGTCTCTCTGTGTGTGT